ATAAATAAAGGTTTAAAAGACGAGTTGGGCAAAGGACCTGGGTAGACATCTCTCAAAAGAAGAACTATGAATAACCAACAAATACACACATGTACATGCATACACACACCACACACACATACATTTTGTTTTTAAAGAAAGAGATTTTTGCTTTAGGTTGCATGTGCTCACCAGAGAGACAAAAAGACAGGCAGTGAGAAATTACCCCCCAGGGCTGATGGCCATGCATGCACCCTATAGCAAAAACCTCTCTCCAAGAAAATAAATAAAAAAAATAAAAACATGAAATTCATAGTGTAAAGAATATGAAAACAAAGAGAAAATAAGTTCACTGGGGTGGAAAATTTGACTTTGGATTAAAGTGATAAGTACATACATAGAAAACTAAGTAAAAGAAAAATATAGTTGGCCCTGAACAACATGTATTTGAGCTGAATGGATCCACTTGTAGATATTTTGGTTTTGCTTTTATTTTTTTCCCAATAAATACTGTAAATATATTTTACTTAATTACTTTTTCTTTTTTTTAAAAAAGATTTTTCTACAGGGTATATGTGCTCACCAGAGAAACAGGGAGAAAGGGGGAAAGTGAGAAAACACCCACCAGGAGAAAACACCCACCATAACCCCTTCTCCTCTGTTGTCATCTCAGGATTTTTGGTCAGTCATGCACATGTGCTTGGTGTGTTTTTAGGCTGCCAGGTCCAGGACTTGAACTGTGCAGTCAGCCACATGAAATTCAGCTTTTAACCATGCCATCTGCTGGCCCACTTGATGACCTTATTTTATTTTTTAGGATTTTGTCATAGGGCATGTGTGCTCACTGGAGAGAGAGAGAGCAACTATGAGAGGGAAAGAAAGAAAGTATCTCCCAGGGGGATGGCCACACCACAGTCCTTTCTCCATTCTCCTTGGGATTTTGGGTATGCGTACCCACGCACCTGCTGTGATTTTTCAAGCTGCCAGGTCCAGGACTCGAACCATCTTGACTATGTGGAAGTCCAGTGCCTTAACCATCATGCCACCTGCTGGGCCCTTACAACTTTCTTAATAACCTTGTCTTTAGTTTATTGTAAGAATATAGTACATAATAGATATGGATATGATATGTGTTAATCAACTGTTTTATGTTATCAATATTCATAATAATTCTGGCCAATAGTAGACAACTAGAAATAACATTTTGAGGGTGTGTCCAAATATTGTTTGTGTGTTTTTGATTGTGTCAGGGATTGGCCTTAAGGAAGGAAGAAAGCTGATTGTTGTTCACTACGTGGGTAAGCAGTGGGTAGCCTTTCTGTTGTGGTAATGCAGACACTGAATTTCGGGCTAGACAAAATGACCCACGTGGCCATAGCGGGAGAGAGGGAGGCGTGCAGGCGCTCGCACCCTCACCTGCCATGGTGGGTCGGTGGTGGGGAGTGCTCGGTGCTGGGTAGCAGCAGGGATGTGAACACGGATGCGGAAGGAGTCAGCACCGGGTGGAGTTAGGGAAGAGGGAGGGTAACAGACCTGTAGGCACGTGTGTCTCTTTTGAACAATGCGTATGCTTTATTGTGATAAAGATAAAACTTCCTAAAAATTACTGGAAATTAAGGTAAGTATATGGCGTATACAAAATGAAACTTGTCAGCTGTTATAGTAAATGCAGGTATTCACTTGGTTAAATGTAGAGGGACTGAACTGGGTCAGTCACACACATTCACCATTTTTGCTGCGAGCCCCTGTTGCCCTTTCTTCTGATAAAGCACCTGGCTCGGCGTTGCTGTTTTCCTCAGGCGAGGTCCGTGGACCTGGTTGTCAAAGTTGTCCGCCTCTGAGCAGGGCACTGACGTGTGACTCTCAGCTCTGCCACAGGGACACTCGTTCTCTAAACTTTTATTCTTGGCCATCGCGACGTAAAAACTGAAAGTAGTTGGGATGGTTTATCCCAGCTGCCTCGGACCTGCCACCTGTAGCTCCTAGCCGCCTCACTTCCTCTGCTTTCTTTACTGGAAAGTTTTCCTGCTGGTTCTGTCTTACAGGTTTCTTTCTGCTTTAACTAGTGAGTCAATTTCAGTTGCTTATAACCAATGAACTCTAGCAGATTCAGATTAAACCCTAAATAATATTCAGCTGGGTAAGAGAACAAGGAGATTAAAATCTAAGGGGGGTGTGTGTATGTATGCCAGTGAGTAAGCAAGCAGGCAAGCCGGGTCAGAACCAAAAACAAAGTAGATCTTCAAGTCCCCGAGTGGTTCAGCTGAAAAGCATTCGTGGGCAAGGAGGCCCCTGTGAAGTCATAGAGAGCTATTCAGAAGGTACAGCCACCCTCCTGGAACGACAGACTCAGCAAACAAACAACAAATGGGAAACACTCGGAAAGAGGGGAACGAGCCAGAGCAAAGTACAACTGCAGCGGGGGTTTCAATCCTCTTACTCAGAACTTCACATAGAAAGAGCATGGTGGTGCGATGGAACATTAGAGAAACAGGCAGAAAATACGGATCGGGGAGAGCCATGTGATAAATGAGCACAGGACATATGCTTCACCACGTTAAAGTAACAAGAAAACACTTTTCACCTATCACATCGGCAGAAGCTCGAGAGTTACGAGCTCCAGTGCTGGCGAGGGTAATGGAAAATGGGCACTCTTAAATACCTTGCAGAGCTGTGAGTGTTCGTAGTGCTCATACCCTTTGAGCAGTTGAGATTTTGGGGCTCTTGCAGGTGATAGAACTGTGTAGGGTATACAGACAAGAATGTATTGTGCAGCATGGTGGTAGTTAAAAATTGAGGGAAACTGAGCAGTTCCTAAGTGTTATGGATAAATGTGAATAAAGTCGTAGGACATCTCGTAACGTGATATTATTTAGCTCTTTTTAAAAAATTTTCACCAATTTTATTTCTCTCTTATAATAAATCATCAGTGGGCTAAATGGAGGCCTATAGATCAGTAACTCTGGTTCACAAGGGAGATGAGAGAGCAAAACTGCTAGGTAGAATGGGGAAGACCCCTACAAGGAGGGCCTCCTGTCAGGGTATTGCTGGCTATGATAGATACGACGGAGGCAAAGCTTAGTAAAAATGCTGACTCTCCCAACTGCACAGCTCCTCCAAGCAGCTCTTCCTCAAATTCATGCTTGGGTAACAAGTTCCTCTCAAGTTGAGTAGGTCCTCCTTCATTACAACGCATGCCACCACAACAACGAACAAAATAGAAACTATTTGTGCTGCTCAATTTTCTCGGTGCTTCAGAAGGCACTTCAGATGGATATACAAATGTGCAGTTGTTTGTACAGTTCTTGTAAACAAGTAGTTCACGTGGGTTCAAACCTGTCCAGAGCTCTGGATCTTACATCCTCAGTAACATGACAAGGAATTAATGACAGAATCTGTTGTTCATGTTCCATGTAATAAGTTTACTGAAGTTCAGCATTCTACAGAGAAGCACATAATCATAAATCGCAGGGTCAGTGGATTTCCACAAAGGGCATGCAGCCGTGCGATTAGCATCCAGCTCAAGAAAGAGCGCTGAATGAAAGCCCTGGATTCCTCATTCCTCCATGCAGACCCTGAAAAGCAGCCAAGGCCAAAGACAGGAGGCGCATCAGCTTCTAACGCCATGTCTTAGTCTTGCCTTCTTCTGAACGTCATGAAAAGGAAGTCATACAGTGTTTGCTTTTGTGTAGGGCTTCTTCTGCTCTACTTTGTGTTTATGAAATGCATCCCCATTGTTGCTTGCTGTTGTTAGTTGTTCATCCTCAGTTCTCATGTATTCCGGTGGTAAATATGCCTTGATACCATAATTCATCATTGATGTGCATTCAGGTTGTTTCCGGTTTTTATCAACTCCAAACAGTGCCGCAATGAATGTTTTTGCACTTGTCTTGAGGTGAGCCCGTAGTCTCTTATTAGGCACGGATGGAGATGGTCAGACAGTGCCTGATTTCGAAAGGACACTCCCTGATGTTTCCACAGTTGAAGTCGTTTATGACTGCACAATCCTGGCATCTCAGATTGAAGGTCCAGTGATTTGGCCAGCAGTGGTGACGTTGCTATTCACCTGCGTGAGCACCACAGCAAGGACCAAGGACAAGGGAAGCATTGTCACCTGCAGGAGCTGGAATCGGAGCCGAGTCCCTGCCGCGACACGGTCCACACCTCGGGGTGTCGCACAGCCCAGCCTGCCCTTTCTGGAACCTTTCTGGAACCTTTCTGGAACCTTCCTGGCACGGCCGCGCCGCCCCAGGCGCTCCAATCTATTTAGCTATTAAGTAGAGGCATTGTCTGGACCAGCAGATGGTACAATGGTTACATTGCCACCCCATGTAGTCCTGCACCCAATGGCTTAAACTCATGCTGGGCTCTTGTGCATGCGTGGCCAAAATCCCGAGAGGAGAATGGGGAAGGGATTGCGGCTGTGGCCGTCCGGGGGTGGGCGTGGGGGAAGTGTGATTTCTCGCCGTCTCTCTGGCGCGTGCCCTATAGCAGAAATCTCCCTCTAAAAGAAAGCAGTAGCAGGTACCATCACCTTGAATGTATTATTGACTGAGAAGGCAAGTGGCAAAGTCTACGTCTGACCGCCCCCATCTGTATACATATATGGTAGAGCCGTGCTGTGAAGATACGTTGGTGTGGGTAGGTATGGACTGTCAGCCAGGCTCGGAACGCTTGTCACTTCAGGGGGTGTGCAGTGGACAAGAGGAGATTGTGGGTTATTTTAACTTTCCACAGTAAAGACACTATGCTTTTCTAATGAAGAAAAGATTAGTAACAGAGCAAATAAGAATTTTACCAAGCCGAGAAAATTTCTGGGAAACAAAAAGTGTTCAGTTAGGAAGAACTTGGAGGTTTTAAGTGACAAGAGTGTGCATCTCTGTGGCTCAGAGTAGCATTTATTTTTATCCTAGTTAGTGGGATTTGAAATGTGTTATTTCATGTGTTTACTAAGGAGCTATTTGCTCTGTACTCCCAAGCATTCGGTTGTTACATTTTCTGAATGTTTTTGCTTTGGATAGGACAATCTCCATCAGTAGAATACAACGTAATGGAGTTGGAACGAGAACTGGAAAATGTCAAGACTCTTAAGGCAAAATTAGGTACTGTATTTCCCCTTGCTTTGTACTGGTCTTGGTTTGTTATTAAAGACTTCACTGTAGTCGGAAATTTTGGAAAAGTTATGAAATTTTTAGCTTATATTCATTTAACTCTGTTCAGAATCTTTGGTAAAGACTGTCTTTTGGTTTGAGAAAAGGGCAAGTATATATATATATGTGTGTGTGTGTGTGTATAGTATGTACTTACGTATATACTTACCCTTTATATAATATAATGTGAATATATATACACGTAGTCCATTTCTAACAAGTTACCTGTCACAGTTGTCTTTTGGTGTGTATGTGCATACATACGTACATACATACATACGTACATACATACGTACATAGACACACACACACTTCTAAGATACCCTCTTTAACACTGGTTTTGAGCAGCTTGATTGTGATATGCTGTGAAGTAATTTTTGTCAAGTTTCTTGTTATTTGAGTTTATTGAGTCTCTTGGGTCTGGGAATTCATAGTTTTCATCGAATTTGGAAGAAACATTTGACCATTACTTCTCCAAGTATTTTTTTGTTTTCCCCTCTAAGTGCCTGTGTGCAGGGACTCCACTTACGTGTAGATTGGCCCATAGCTCAAGGGTGTTTCTTAATTTTTAGTTTTTTCTTTCTGTTTCATTGTGGATAGTTTTTCTCGCTTGCCCTTACTTCCCCTGTTCTGTTCTTCACAGCAGAGCTGCCTTTAGTCCAGTCCAGTGTCTTTTTTCTTTCTTAAGTTAAAGATGCTTCCTTTATTACATAAAGCCAATGCTGCTGCTTCTGAGTTCATCTGTCCGTGCATTTCAGTCGTGTTCCAAGCCCGTGCATCTCTGTAGCATTACACCTGTGATGTTAATGACAGTCATGTCCAAGTGTCACTGGGTGGTGGCTCCTTGCAAGCATCTTCCCTGGTACCTGCTCCCCGTTTCATGCTCAGCTGAAACTAGGGTGTGCTCTAGGAAGCCGCACTCTCCCAGGCCCCAGTGAACATATTGCGGACCCTTCCGCATCTTACTGGGCCAGAGGTAGCAAACTTCTGAGGAGACAGGGTCAAGGGTGTGGTGGTGTTCCAGCTTGCCAGGACATTTTCCATGAACAAAGCAGGTCCAGTGGAGCCCTAATCTGCATGATAATTAGTCATTAGAAGATACTACACATTTTCCTGTGGACACACCATGATTCCCAAGATGCAAACTTACTCTCCCAGCACCGTCTCCAACTAGCAGGCTGCTTCCTGTATCCAGTAATGTGCTTGGTATCTTTTTAAATCTTTTTTGTTTTTTTGAGAGAGAGAGAGATTTTTACCATGGGGGCACATGCGCTCTCTAGAGAGACAGGGAGAGACAGCGAGAAATCACCTCCCCAGGGGGAATGGCCATGCCACAGTCCCTCCTCCTCTCAGGATTTTGGGCATGCACACACATATGCCCAGTGAAAGTTTTAAGGTGCCAGGTCTGGGACTCGAACTGTGGTCAACTATATGGGAGTCCAGCAACGTAACCATTATGCCATCTGCTGGTCCCTTCCAGTAATGTGCTTGAAATGGTACTTTTTGCAAGATCAGCGTGGACTACAAGTGGCCACAGGTTTGAGGCGGTCCCCATTACTCAGGTGGTGCAAAGACAAGACTGCCTCCCTTAATCTTACTGTTGTTAATGTGTTAGTGTTACACACATACAAGGAGAATTGTATCCCATTATGCTGTTTAGCTCAAGGAGGAATAAAGAATTTTGGTCAAAATTAAAACCAGATTATGACCAATTCTCTTAAGCAAAAGGAAAAAAGAAACTGCTGAGGTTAACAAAGATATAGTACTTTTCTTCACACGACCTTATACTATCTTGTGAACTGCATTATTAAAAATCCTGAGCTAATGGGCCAGTGGTTGTCGTAATGGCTATGTTGCTGGACTCCCATGTAGTCAACTGCGGTTCGATTCCCGGGCCCGGTGGCTTAAACTCACACCAGGCGTGTGTGCATGCATGCCTAAGATCCCGAGAGGAGAATGGAAGAGAATGGATTGTGGCGTGGCCATCCCCCAGGGGGTGATTTCTCGCTTTGTGTCTCTCTTTCTCTGTCTTTCTGGCGAATGTACGCGCCCTATTGCAAAAACCTCTCCCTCCCAAAAAATATCCTGAGCCTAAAAATCTGTGTAAGTTAACACATCACAACAGATGTTTAGCCAATGAGAATTTAATTTCACAACAATAAAACTTTAGACTTCAGATTTCTTTAGGGCCATTTGCACATGTTTATAGAAATGTAGCTAACTCTACAAGATGATAAGACAGTTTTCGTCAGTGCGACCCTGTCCTCAGTAATATTTGCTTTATGTGTATTTCAAGGAGGTAACTTTAGAGACAGAAGCTGTTGCTTTGTGGCACTGAATGAGCTCACGCAGGGCCTCCCTCAGAAGCCACAGTTGGAGACTCACCTGACTTTTCAGCAGTAGAAGCACGGGTGAGGTCTTCTGGCTCATTTGCTTGACATTCATGTTTTATGCCTTGAAATTTCTTTTGCAAATTTCTTGAAATTTCATTTTGGTCTGCTCACATAGATCATTTTACTTCTCAGAGGTGCTAGCTCCCATGCCCACACACACAGATCAACTCTTCTTTCCCGGATTCCTCGGTTTCAAAGCTCGCATCATAAAAGCATAGTGGCAGTCTTTCTCAGGAAGCGTCCCCAAATGCTTGAACGGATGGGTGAAGGTCCCACCAACAGCTCCAGCCAAGATCACCCTGCCTTCTGCCTTCTGCCTTCTGCCTTCTGGGCACGAGCAGGACTCCCTGCTGCTGTTCGACAGCACCAAGACAGGAAGTGACAGCCTCTTTCTTTCCTTGATCTCTTTGGGTGCGGAGCATTTCCTAACTTTCATGCCGTAAATACTCCATCACAACTTGTGCTCCTGAGGCCATCTTCCCCGGCTGTGGCAAGGACATGAGCCCACTGAGTCTGTGCAGCGCCCTTGTGGAAGCAGGGCGAGAGAGGGAGCCGTTTTGTGTCTACTTCTCCCCTCAGACGTACCTTTCTCTCAGTGGAGGCATGTCCTGGATCCTCATGTCTGATTGACACGTTCTTTTTGTGTCTTACACCGTTTTGGATGGCAGCACTCTTAATTTTATTGTCTGCTAATCCTAACATCTGCATCAGTTCCTGGTAAGTTTTTTTTTTTTTTTTTAAAAAAGGCTTTTGCCATAGGGCTGCTGTACTCGCTAGAGACAGACAGAGAAACAGTGAGAAGAAAAGTGAGAAATCACCTCCTGGGGTCTGGCCACACTGCATTCCCTTCTCCTCCACTGTCCTGGGATTTGGGGCACACTTGCACACACACTTGCACACACACTTGGCCACCAGGTACGGGACCCAAACTGTGGTCTATCATGTGGAGGCCCAGCGCCTTACCTGCTGTGTCGTCTCTGGTCCTGGTTCCTGATAAGTTCCGACTGACTGGCCTTTACCCTTATCACTGGTTGCACAGGCTGTGCACTCCTAACCCAGAAACCTGATTTCCAAAGACTCTAGCGTCTGGAACTTTCTGAGTGCTGGCGTGGTGCTACAAGTAGAGACCAGCCAGCCTTACGTGATGCCCAGCGTCAGCGCCGCTGTACGGACACTTTGGAAATGCCTTCAGGCCGCGGCACAGGCTGTATGTGAAGCATCACTGAATATTAGGTTGAGATTTGGCCCCATCCCTGAGACACCTTTTTGTGTACGCAGATGTTCCTGAATTCAAAAACCCAAAACACTCGTGGTCCCAAGCATTTCTGATCAGAGTTGCTCAGCCTGCACTGTTGAGCTCTTTGATTGCCAGGCAAGTTTTGATTAGGAGAAAAGACATGTGAATTTTCCATCGTTGGATGCTGATATTAAAAATGCCATGGGGGCCAGCGGATAATGTAATGGCTATGTCGTTGGACTCCCACATGGCGAACCCTGGTTTAAGTCCTGTACCTGGAGCCTTGAAACTCACACTGGGTGTGTGCGTGTGTGTGCCCAGAATCCCAAGAGGAGAATGGAGGAGAAGGGATTGTGGCGTGGCCATCCCCCCGGGGTGGTTTCTCACTTTCCATCTCTGCCTCTTTGGTGAGTGCACATGCCCTATATCAAAAAAATCTCTCTCTCAAAAATAACCCTATGGCAAGGAACTCTGTTCTGAATGCAGTTGGGTTACCTGGAAACGTTTGATGTTACCGCGTCTTGCTGCGACAACTTGTGAGGCTAGACTGGGGCAGCACTCACTCTAGGGCAAGCCCCTCAGCTCACCATGCCTCGTGTCCTGTCCTGGGGGCGGGTACCGTCCTTGCCCCTTTGAGGTTGTCGAGTGTGGTTCCCCCCATGTTTGGGCCGTTCTTTCCTCAGCCGCGGGTTGCTTCCTCACACGCCTCAACCCTGCACACGGCACCGGATACCCAGGGCGACCTTGGCTGGCCCGTGGAGGCCCTGCTCTCGCAGTGTCCTTTTTGATGCTTTGCTCTGCATCTCGCGCCTTAGCCTCCCCGGCTCCCATTTCATAGCCTCAGCCCAAGGAATGAGCTGCTTCCGCAGGGCTCCTCCTCTCCGCTCCGTGGCCGAAGTCTCTTGCCTGAGAGTAAGCCGAATAAAGCAGAGCTCGCATTGCTCCCCGCCCTGCTGTGCCGCTGCGTGCCACGACGTGTCTGGTGTCGTGGAAACTGTTGCTTCATGTAGACCCAGTTACCCGTCTGGCCAGTAAACCTGGTCCCTGTCGATGCTCTGTCTGTGATGTCTCTGAACACTGGATGTCATTTATGACATTTGTCACTTGACAGTCTCGCTGTCGGTGGGTAGTAGACGTCTCGTCTTCTGCCGTTATGGGGAATGCTGCTGTAGCATTCTGTATAAAGCTCTTGGTATGTATGTTTTCCGGGCACATGCAGTGAGAGAAAGGTTGGGACCGTCATATCCGCCCATGTGCCACCCTCGCAGACAGTCCCGAATTGGCTTCCAGCTGTGTTACTTTGCGCCTTCTGGCATGAGTGGGGCCTCCTGCTGCGCCACATCCCTGCCATCACTCGATAATGCGGACTCTACGTTTTGAGCAATTTAGTGGTCGTGAGGTGGTATTTCAGAGGTACCCTGAGTTGCATGTTCCTAGTGTAGTGTCCTGCTTTTGTGTTTCAGTAATTTAGTGGTCGTGAGGTGGTATCTCAGAGGAACCCTGAGTTGCATGTTCCTAGTGTAGTGTCCTGCTTTTGTGTTTCAGTAATTTAGTGGTCGTGAGGTGGTATCTCAGAGGAACCCTGAGTTGCATGTTCCTAGTGTAGTGTCCTGCTTTTGTGTTTCAGTAATTTAGTGGTCGTGAGGTGGTATCTCAGAGGAACCCTGAGTTGCATGTTCCTAGTGTAGTGTCCTGCTTTTGTGTTTCAGTAATTTAGTGGTCGTGAGGTGGTATCTCAGAGGAACCCTGAGTTGCATGTTCCTAGTGTAGTGTCCTGCTTTTGTGTTTCAGTAATTTAGTGGTCGTGAGGTGGTATCTCAGAGGAACCCTGAGTTGCATGTTCCTAGTGTAGTGTCCTGCTTTTGTGTTTCAGTAATTTAGTGGTCGTGAGGTGGTATCTCAGAGGAACCCTGAGTTGCATGTTCCTAGTGTAGTGTCCTGCTTTTGTGTTTCAGTAATTTAGTGGTCGTGAGGTGGTATCTCAGAGGAACCCTGAGTTGCATGTTCCTAGTGTAGTGTCCTGCTTTTGTGTTTCAGTAATTTAGTGGTCGTGAGGTGGTATCTCAGAGGAACCCTGAGTTGCATGTTCCTAGTGTAGTGTCCTGCTTTTGTGTTTCAGTAATTTAGTGGTCGTGAGGTGGTATCTCAGAGGAACCCTGAGTTGCATGTTCCTAGTGTAGTGTCCTGCTTTTGTGTTTCAGTAATTTAGTGGTCGTGAGGTGGTATCTCAGAGGAACCCTGAGTTGCATGTTCCTAGTGTAGTGTCCTGCTTTTGTGTTTCAGTAATTTAGTGGTCGTGAGGTGGTATCTCAGAGGAACCCTGAGTTGCATGTTCCTAGTGTAGTGTCCTGCTTTTGTGTTTCAGTAATTTAGTGGTCGTGAGGTGGTATCTCAGAGGAACCCTGAGTTGCATGTTCCTAGTGTAGTGTCCTGCTTTTGTGTTTCAGTAATTTAGTGGTCGTGAGGTGGTATCTCAGAGGAACCCTGAGTTGCATGTTCCTAGTGTAGTGTCCTGCTTTTGTGTTTCAGTAATTTAGTGGTCGTGAGGTGGTATCTCAGAGGAACCCTGAGTTGCATGTTCCTAGTGTAGTGTCCTGCTTTTGTGTTTCAGTAATTTAGTGGTCGTGAGGTGGTATCTCAGAGGAACCCTGAGTTGCATGTTCCTAGTGTAGTGTCCTGCTTTTGTGTTTCAGTAATTTAGTGGTCGTGAGGTGGTATCTCAGAGGAACCCTGAGTTGCATGTTCCTAGTGTAGTGTCCTGCTTTTGTGTTTCAGTAATTTAGTGGTCGTGAGGTGGTATCTCAGAGGAACCCTGAGTTGCATGTTCCTAGTGTAGTGTCCTGCTTTTGTGTTTCAGTAATTTAGTGGTCGTGAGGTGGTATCTCAGAGGAACCCTGAGTTGCATGTTCCTAGTGTAGTGTCCTGCTTTTGTGTTTCAGTAATTTAGTGGTCGTGAGGTGGTATCTCAGAGGAACCCTGAGTTGCATGTTCCTAGTGTAGTGTCCTGCTTTTGTGTTTCAGTAATTTAGTGGTCGTGAGGTGGTATCTCAGAGGAACCCTGAGTTGCATGTTCCTAGTGTAGTGTCCTGCTTTTGTGTTTCAGTAATTTAGTGGTCGTGAGGTGGTATCTCAGAGGAACCCTGAGTTGCATGTTCCTAGTGTAGTGTCCTGCTTTTGTGTTTCAGTAATTTAGTGGTCGTGAGGTGGTATCTCAGAGGAACCCTGAGTTGCATGTTCCTAGTGTAGTGTCCTGCTTTTGTGTTTCAGTAGTTCATTTTGCTTCTGCTTGAAAACAACAAAACAGCAATTAGCATTTAATTTAGTACAGCTTGGCTGGCAATAGAGGCTTTTAGTTTTTGTTTACATGAAAATATATTTGCTTTTTCATTTGTAGGGCATTTTTAAAACAGAACTTAGAGTTTTTATTCACCCAGCCAGGCTGGTGGCGCATACCTGCAACCCAGCTCCTTGGGAGGCTGAGGCCAGCTCAGACAGCCTGGCGTGGCGAGGCCCGAAGGGTTCCTATCTGGCCGATTGTCAGCACTGCCGAGACGTCACGGAGGTGACTCTGGCTTCTGGCTGTGAGGCATGCTGCTCTTGGGAAGGGTGGTGGGGATGGGCTTTCTGTCTTGCTGTCACACTTTCACTTTGCGTCCTGAGAGGGGTGTTCTTGGTATTTCTCCTGCTGGGGATCTCTGTCACCTCATGACTGTGGCTTGCCGACTCTCATGCTCTGGGAAAATTGTTGGCCATCATTTTATCGGGTGTTGCTTCACCTTGTTCTCTATCTCCTCAGACTCTAGCTACGTGTCTGCAGAGATCTTTGCCTCTGATGGTCTTCCGGGCGTTTCCTTCTTTCTGTAAATGTCCATGTCTGTGCTGTTTAGTTAGCCCGCCTCCCATCTCTCTCCTTAGGGCTGTCATCATTGTGTCAGGCCTTTCTGTTGAGTTTTTAATTTTGGTATTTTTCAGTCTAAAATTTCCAGTTCATTTGTAGATTCAAAATTACTGGTAAAAGTTGCTGTTTTGTCAGTGAATATTGAACATATTCATCATTGTTTTACTTCTTTCTGGTAAGTCCAATATGTGGATAATCCAGGACCTGTTTCTATTGTCTTTTCTTCTTTGTCCTATCTTCTGGGATATTCCTGATTATTAAATTCTAGAAACTTCGATACTTTCTTTTCTTTGGGAGAGTTTACTTTTGCTTCTGGTAGGCACTTGGAGTAGTGGTACATTAGTCTCATCCACATCAGTCTGGGATTACTCGAGGCTGGGTGTTGGGCGTTGGTCCTGGTGCAGCTTTCCGTCGGCCTCTCTGAAGGCCTGAGACGTGAGCTCTGGTGTGGACCCGACTGCACCGGCACCGTGAGCTCTGTACCTCTCAGGAAGCGCGGCCCTGACGGAGGCTCTGCGTGGCTTCCAGCCGCCCAGCTGCACCTCTCTGTTTCTCAGCCTCCTCCCCACTGGTGCGCGAAGGGGTAGGGACACGACAGGGTACAGGAGGCTCCCTTCCTTGCCCTCCTCTTTCCTCTAGGTTCGCAGTCTCTCAGACTCTGACGTTTGTCTCGCTGCATCCACTGAGTTTGCTGCAAGCTTGGCTTTGGCATCGTTGCTTCCTACCCACTGACTCCTCAGCCACGGGGTCAGTCCCAATTATGTATTGGAAAATGCCTTGCAGAGAAAGGTACTGCAGACTGGAGGGCTCGTGTCAACCCATTTCATAGAATATCAGCCCCTCCATTTTAATTGTTGTGGTAGTTCTTTGATCTCTTCATGTAGATTTTCGAAAGATGAGGTTTGACACATCCTTTCTGTTATTCTTGGCGTGGGGACTGGTGTGATGCAAGGTAGTCCATTATAGCTGGAAGTGGAGTCGCCTTCAGCCTTAGTAAACTGGAAGTGTTTCTATCTGGAGTGTGAGAATAGAGTACATTTTTATTTATGTTGCTTTATTTATTTAACTAGATATCTTTGTCAATATTAGCTGTGTATCAGATATAACCATTTCTCTACTTTCGAAGCACCCTGTACATTAACAATATATTCACTTAAGTGAAATGACTTTATAAAGTTGAAATTTAAACATCACAGGAGTGAACTGTATAATGTAGCTAACTGGTTTTAAAACTAACTTTTATAGTTTATGGAGAAAAATTAAAACAAATTTATGTTTTCTGAAAATTAAATTATTTTTATAAATAACACTGTATACTGATTAGAGCATTGTGGAATGAAAGTCACAGTTTTCAGATCACTAAAATCTTTCATTTTGTTTTCCTTCCAATAGAGAGACGGAAAAAGGCTTCAGCATGGGAAAGAAATTTGGTGTACCCTGCCGTTATGGTCCTCCTCCTCATTGAGACAGTAAGCCTCTGTCTGCCTGGTTAAACAGCCAGTTACACTTACTTACTTTAGCATCTGAGGATGGCAGCTCCCTCGTTAAACGGTTCCTAGTAAACCAATTTCCTACTGGCAGGACTAAAATCTACCTATGTCTTTATTTGATTAAAAAAAATAGAGGTGGAACTAATAACCTAAAATTAATGGTAATCTTTAAAGTACTCAAAATTATCTATTTCCTCATAAAAATAGGAAATTTGACTTTTTTCATTGAAAGTTAAGGAAAACAGAGGTGTTACACCCAGCTTGAAACTCTTGGCGAGAATATAAAAATTATGTTTTATTTTGTCACTAAGTTCTTAAGATTTTGTCTGTGGAGTTGTGTGTTTCCAATTGGCAAGATCACTTAGTAAAAGAATCTGTATTATTACCTTGACGTTGCCAACTTTGAAATAATAATAATTTGTAGAGTCCTTTACAATTTGCCCTGGGGTCTTTGGGTATAGTGCGATTAGCTGCTTGAGTAGAGTTCTGGGCTGAGACATGCGTCCGGCCCGTTGGGTGTTAACGCCGGGTGTTGGCGAGGTCCTTGCGGTGGGCACTAACGGCCTTTTTGTGTTGCAGTCCATCTCGGTCCTCCTGGTGGCCTGCAACATCCTCTGCCTGCTGGTCGATGAGACAGCAATGCCAAAGGGAACAAGGGTAAAGTAAAGTGCTTAAGAACACCTTTCTATGCAAAAAGTACCCCGTGTCCAGCCCCAGGTTTCAAGTACATCCATGAGGGCAGTGGCCTTTCTGTGCGCCTACGTCAAGGTGCACGGACAGTGTTTATAAACTCGATTTTATGTCCAGTGTTCTACTCTGAATTGGCAGGGTCTCTTTGAAGTATCAGGGTTTCCCTTTAGGCTTCATATCAGAGCTCACCTTAGTTTCACTGAGACTCGTATTTGTGAATCTTTAAGAAAATGCAGTGGTATGTAAGGATAGAGTCGATGGAGTCGCGTTGGTAACAGACACAGGTGTTTATCTACAGGGACTCAGGCTTTAAAAGTGCCACGTAGTTTATGGTACTGGGTCAAAATGCATGGTTACTGGGAGGATCAGATGCACTCCTGTTCATGAATTAACTCTCCTCGCTTGTTTACAAATTTGTAATTTTATTAGATTCTACTAATTAGTCTATTTGAATATATACTTCACATGAAAGGTAGTTACTACTAAATATTTACATTTGGGACACTTTTTTAAGTTTGTTTATAAAGTTTTGGATACTGAAAGTGGCATTTCAACTTTCCTGTTTTACTGTATTTTTCCTAAGTTGGCAACCCTTCCATTCCATGTAGAAATTACTTTAAAACTCTTGGGCCAATAGATGGTGTGGTGGTTAAGGTGCAGGACCCCATATGGCTTGACTCTGGGGTTTAAGTTCCAGACCCTGCGGCTTGAATATGAGTGTGTGTGTGTGTGTGTGTGTGGAGAGAGAGAGAGAGAGAGAGCACACACACACGTGTGCATGCCCAAAATCCTGAGAGGAGAACGGAGAAGGGATTACAGTGTGGCCATCACCCTGGGGAGGTGGTTTCTCACTTTCCTTCCTTCTCTGCCTCTCTCTGGTAAAAGTCTAGACAAACAAACAAGCAAAAAACAAGTCCTTTAGTTCTTGGGCTGTCCCTGTTGCATGGCAGTTAAGCAGCTCTCACATAGCCAACTGTGTGGCTTTAACCCTGGCCCTGGTGGCTTGAGAAACACACCAGGTGGGTGGGTAGAGAAATGGAGAGAAGGGATTGTGCTGTGACCACCCCGGGGGGTGTTTGCCCCCTCCCCCTCTCTGCCTCTCTGGGAACACTTGCTGTCCTTTGGCAAATAAAACAAACAAACCAAAAAAGCTCTTTCAGATTCTTATTATCACATCTCAGAAAAAGTCAGTGTTTTATCTGAGTTCTCCCCTTTATTTGGAGATGAAGACACCGAGTTTTTTCAGAACGCCATGTTCTTGCTCAGACCCACCCTGGCCTTCGAGGCCTTTGCCGCCTGGTACTGCTGTCATCCCAGCTGGTGGCAGCCTCTTCCCAGGGTGAGAGCCCTTGCACGTGGTCCTGGTGCCTCCCTCTGCACCCTTTCCTTCCCTTTTGTTTATGTGCAGAGTTGCTGATAGAGCAGGAGGTCACCTACTGTCTCTCTAGCTCACTTTACCACCCAGCAGCACAAGCCAGCTCCCTGTGGAACATTTCTGCGTCCCCCCTCAGTGCACATGAGTGGTTTGTGTATTGCAGGGGCTCCCTGTACGATAGTGTGCGTAAGTCAGAGACAGAGACAGAGAAATGAGAAATCACTCCTCTGGGGGGTGGGCAGTCCCTTTCTTCCATTCTCCTCTCGGGGTTTTAGGCACGTACACACTCACCCAGGATGAGTTTCAGGTCGTTGAGGTTGAGACTTGAACCCCGGTCAGCTATATGGGAGTCCAGCACCATAACCACTATACCACCTGCTGGCCCCAAAACAGATCATCTTAATCCAGCCTATTGGCTTCTTTTGTGAGACAGAATATTTTCCATGTTGATCAATAAGCCTTTTTTTTTTTTTTTTTTTTTTTGAGAGAGATTTTTGGCATAGGGCACGTGTGCTCACCAGAGTGATGGAGAGACAGAGAGACAGAAAGCAAGAAATCATGAATATATACTTCACATGAAAGGTAGTTACTACTAAATATTTACATTTGGGACACTTTTTTAAGTTTGTTTATAAAGTTTTGGATACTGAAAGTGGCATTTCAACTTTCCTGTTTTACTGTATTTTTCCTAAGTTGGCAACCCTTCCATTCCATGTAGAAATTACTTTAAAACTCTTGGGCCAATAGATGGTGTGGTGGTTAAGGTGCAGGACCCCATATGGCTTGACTCTGGGGTTTAAGTTCCAGACCCTGCGGCTTGAATATGAGTGTGTGTGTGTGTGTGTGTGTGGAGAGAGAGAGAGAGAGAGAGACACCACACACGTGAATCCTGAGAGGAGAACGGAGAAGGGATTACAGTGTGGCCATCACCCTGGGGAGGTGGTTTCTCACTTTCCTTCCTTCTCTGCCTCTCTCTGGTAAAAGTCTAGACAAACAAACAAGCAAAAAACAAGTCCTTTAGTTCTTGGGCTGTCCCTGTTGCATGGCAGTTAAGCAGCTCTCACATAGCCAACTGTGTGGCTTTAACCCTGGCCCTGGTGGCTTGAGAAACACACCAGGTGGGTGGGTAGAGAAATGGAGAGAAGGGATTGTGCTGTGACCACCCCGGGGGGTGTTTGCCCCCTCCCCCTCTCTGCCTCTCTGGGAACACTTGCTGTCCTTTGGCAAATAAAACAAACAAACCAAAAAAGCTCTTTCAGATTCTTATTATCACATCTCAGAAAAAGTCAGTGTTTTATCTGAGTTCTCCCCTTTATTTGGAGATGAAGACACCGAGTTTTTTCAGAACGCCATGTTCTTGCTCAGACCCACCCTGGCCTTCGAGGCCTTTGCCGCCTGGTACTGCTGTCATCCCAGCTGGTGGCAGCCTCTTCCCAGGGTGAGAGCCCTTGCACGTGGTCCTGGTGCCTCCCTCTGCACCCTTTCCTTCCCTTTTGTTTATGTGCAGAGTTGCTGATAGAGCAGGAGGTCACCTACTGTCTCTCTAGCTCACTTTACCACCCAGCAGCACAAGCCAGCTCCCTGTGGAACATTTCTGCGTCCCCCCTCAGTGCACATGAGTGGTTTGTGTATTGCAGGGGCTCCCTGTACGATAGTGTGCGTAAGTCAGAGACAGAGACAGAGAAATGAGAAATCACTCCTCTGGGGGGTGGGCAGTCCCTTTCTTCCATTCTCCTCTCGGGGTTTTAGGCACGTACACACTCACCCAGGATGAGTTTCAGGTCGTTGAGGTTGAGACTTGAACCCCGGTCAGCTATATGGGAGTCCAGCACCATAACCACTATACCACCTGCTGGCCCCAAAACAGATCATCTTAATCCAGCCTATTGGCTTCTTTTGTGAGACAGAATATTTTCCATGTTGATCAATAAGCCTTTTTTTTTTTTTTTTTTTTTTGAGAGTTTTTTTGCTATAGGGCACATGCACTCACCAGAAAGACAGAGAGACAGAAAGCGAGAAATCACCCTTCGGGGGGATGGCCATGCCTCAATCCCTTCTCCATTTTCCTCTTGGGATCTTGGGCACACACACACATGCGCCTGGCAGCCTGGCATGAGAGTTTAAGCCGCCAGGTCTGGGACTTGAGCCACGGTCAACTACATGGGAGTCTAGCAACATAGCCATTACACCAGCTGCTATTCCCAATCAATAAGCTTTTATAGGGGAGAAAAAAAAAATTTTCCTTACTGAAGTCCGTATACCAAAAGACAGATTAACAAGAGAAAGGCAAATGTATTTAAGATGCATTTTCCTGGATACAGGACCTTTCAGAAGTGAAGATGCAAGGAGACAGCGGCCCCTGTGTTCGGGGCTCCGTCTTGATGAAGAGCGAACCATACGAGAAGGTGCAGCTGGGCACGGCGACCCCATCTCAGGCCCCAGCTGGGGCAGAGCCAGGCCTGTCAGGGGTCTGCGTCTTTGAGGGGCTGTGCCTGTGCTCTGCGTAGGGGCTGGATCTCTTCCCTGAGGGTCGCAGACGGTCAGAGACAGCGACAGAGATACAGGCAGAGTGTGAGCTTTCTGGTTTCTGAAGCACCAAGGCGCCATGTTTTGGGAAAGCATGTCCTGAACCGCATCACCTTCTAGTCGCTTGCTTATTTCTTCTTCACGTGATTGGCACACGCTGACAGTCCCTGACCCTAACTGTACACGTGGAGTTCCTAGGGTCATTCTCACTCTCTACGCCAAAGTTAGGCCCACACGCACACGCACACACGCACACATCTGTGTATTGTTTATGGACTTATCTTGTTTTAGGCTCCCGGTACACACTAATCGTCTGGTATTTATTAGATAGAATTGAAGCCGACGGGTAAAATGGTCACTCATACCCAGGTCGTCCCTTTAATTAGTCAACCTTCAAAATACTATTTCTCTCCCTCCCTTCTGAAGGGACTGGTTGCTCATCTGATCTTTTTATTTTTTTAGTTCCAGGTAAAAACAGCTTTTGAAATAGATATAAGGTTTAGGACAAAATTTATAGCATCACTTTTTTAAAAAGGATTATTTAATTTCGTTTATTATTATTATTACTTTAATTTTGCAGTAGGGCATGTGTGCTCACCAGAGAGAAAGTGAAAAACGGCCACTGAGTCCAGGACTTGGGCCACAGCTGTCCGTGTGGGGGTCTGAGGCCTTAACCACCATCCCACCTGCTGGCCCCTTTCACCACTTGTAAAAACTCTGTGCTAACAGGTACAGCTCTCGGGCTGGCCCCGTGGCCTGGTGGTCAAGGCAGCCAGACCCCACAGGGCCAGCCACGCAGTTTGAGCCTTGGGCCGGCAGCTTGTGAAGCACACTGGGTGCACATACGTGTGCGCCCAAAGTCCGGAGAGGGCAGGGAGGAGGTCTTAGAGCGTGACCACGTGTGGGGTGGCCAGAACAATGGCAGTGTTCCGAAATTCGTGCTGAGGCGGAGAGAAGCTGTGTGTGAGCGAGTGGGCGGGGGCAGAGGAGGCCAGAGCTCAGGACCGAGGGTGTCCACAGCACCCGCTTACCTTCATTGAGCATCCGGCTTTGTGTCCTGGGGACAGCCCAGGGCCGTGGCCATCTCCATCAGAGACTCCCGGACCTCCTGATCCCTGCTTTTCTCTACTTGTGTGTCTGTGTACCTTATTTCTGTTTTTTTGTTTGTTTATTTTTCAGAGTTTTTTTACTATAGGGCATGTGTGCTCTCCAGAAAGACAGAGACAGAAAGTGAGAAATCACCCCCCGGGGGGAATGGCCACGCCATCATGCTGTCTCCACCATTTTCCTCTTGGGATCTTGGGCACACACGCACATGCGTGCAGTGTAAGTTTATACCACCAAGTCTGGGACTCAAACCGCGGTCGGCTACATGGGAGTCCAGCGACGTAGCCATTAGTCCATCTGCTGGTCCCCGTGTACCTTATTTCTGATCCACTGCCACTCCCCCTCAAGGTACGTCTTGCTGAGCAGGCCTCGACAACCACGCTCCCTGGGAATGCTTTCTCACGTTCCCTCTCTTGCTGTCTCACTCTTGAACTCATGTACTCTCCAGCAGGAGATGAGTGAGTGAGTAAATGAATGAATGAAATGATAAGTGAATGAGCAGTAAGTCTTTTGGAGCTCTGATTTCTGAGGAGAGATCTGGGGAGACTTCCCGGTGTGGACAGGAGGTACGCACTCACTTCCTGCTGCCCTCCGCCAGAGCTGACGGGCTCTGTCCCTGCCCCGGCGCCCCTGGCTGGGGGTGGTTTGAGCTGCACTGGCCGCTTGCCTGTGGTTCTCTCTTCAGTGGACGTGCTGGGAAGTAAATGTAGTTTTCTCTTAAGATTTTGTTAGCATTTTCCCTTCCTAGTTTTCTTTATTAAGAATAAAGTATACAGTACATGTAACATATACAGTACCTGTTAATTGACTATTTATCAGTAAGGCTTCCAGGCTGCTGTAGACTTTCAATACGTAAGTGTCTGGGACTCAAAATAGTGATAGGCGTGAGCCAGCGGGTGGCATGGTGGTTAAGGCAGCTGACTGTACAGTTTGAGTCCCAGACCCAGCAGTTTGAAGAACATGCCAGGCACATGTGATTGGGAGCCCAAAATACTGAGAAGAGAATGGGAGACAAGGAATTACTGTGTGGCCATTCCCAGGGAGAGGGTGTGTATGGGGTGTGCTTTCTAACTTCCCCTTCCTTTCCCTCCTCTCCGGCTTTCCCTCTTGGCAAGTGCACATACCCTATAGCAAACTAAAAAAAAAAAAAATGACGTGTGTGTTTTGCTTTTTGGGGTTTTTTTGAGAGAAATTTTTGCTGTAGGGCACACGTGCTTGCCAGAGAGAGAGAGCCAGAAATCACACCCCCCCTTCTCCTCCATTCTCCTCTCAGGATCTTGGGCACGCGTGCACACATGCCTGGCGTGAGACTTAAGCTGCCGGGTCTGGGATTTGAACCGTGGTTGACTACATAGGAGTCCAGCGATGTAACCATTGTGCCATCAACTGGTCCCTATATGTGGGTTTTTGACTGAGTTGGGAATCAGCACCCCTAACCACCATGTAGTTAAAGGGTCATCTGTATTCTGTTTTTAAAATATTTCTCCTAAGAATATGCAGGCGTTTTCCTCAGGGAGCACTTTGTTTTTAGCCTATAACTCTGAGCATAATTGTATCATTTGACAAGTAACTTCAATTACATTCTAATTAAATCAGATTTTTTTGAGCTTACTGAAAGTATTAGTGTGGTGGCTGAATCTGCTGAAAGTCTAGATGTTATTCTAAGGTATTACACATTTTAATTTCAGCCATCTCATTATGAGAGAACATTTTAGGAAAACCAAATCTAATGTTGTCACTGAATTCTGAAAAGTGTTCTCCATCCCCCAGGGACCTGGAATAGGAAACGCCTCTCTCTCCACGTTTGGCTTTGTGGGAGCCGCGCTTGAAATCGTTTTGATTTTGTATCCTTGCTGTAGCTGAGTATTCTGTGTCCGCAAAGCTTTTGTCCAGTTTTCTGGGACCGTGGCAATTTATTGAGACACTCGTCTAGATGCAAGAATAGCAGGTCACTTCCTCAAGCATTCAAAGTGGGTTTTTGCTTTATTTTGTTTTTCCTTTGGGTCTTAAGACTTTGGAGACAGCTGAGGACTTCAGGGTACTTGGATTCTTTTGGAGCGCTTTTTCCTTGATCCTCACAGCTATCTCATGGTGTCCTCTGTTGTCGGGTTCTACAGCCTCCGGTTTTTTGGAAGCTTTACTCCCAAGAAGGATGACACAACTATGACAAAGGTAAGGTAAAGTCTAGGTGACCGAGCCCTGCCTTCCCTTCGGAGACACACTGTCCTCCGTCACTGCTCGCATGGCTCCTGCAGAGAGAGGTGCCGTCTGCGTCCCCCGAGCAGGACTGGAGGGCTTTAGAAACGGGGAGTGGGACCGGGGCGTGCTGTCTAATATGGATTGCATCCATTCCCCGGTAAGTGCATGGACACAGAGCTCGTTAACTAGTTTTGGAGGGCTCCTGAGAGGACTCCTTTTCTTCCGAAGAAAACTTCCTGCGAACGAGTAACTGATTGAGGGAACTGTACTTCAGGGGGCTTGTTAGAAATCTGAAGAACTTGCTTGCTACAAGTAGTAGAGACAAAGGATTTCAAATCTGAATAATTAAACTAAGATGGAGGAGTCCTATTCAGAAGCATTTTGTAGTCTGAAGCCAATGTGGCTTTCTGCAATATGTCATTGGTTTCAGAGTATGGATGGTGACTGAATCTTTGTAAAATATCCCCACAGGCGGACAAAGGAGTGGCTAATGAGAGCTGCTGGCTTAGCTCCTTTTATTATATGCTCCATGTCTTAACCTAGTAAAGCAGAGAGGTTATTGTATACATCTGCACACACACGCCACTGTCACTTCTTTAAAGTCAGTAAGTAGTGGCGGCGTCAGTGTCTAGCCTGGGTCTCATAATTGCCACGAGTGTTTTCAGCTTCTGTTACCGACTGGGAGGGAGTAAGCACAGCCACACTGCAGACGAACTCCTCGAGTTTAAGTGTTCAGGATTCCCACGCTAACCGAGGTAAAGGAATTACACATATTAGAAGTACTGTAGATACTATGTAAGAGATCTCGCACAGTAGCCTGGCTTTAAGAATATAGCCAGAGGTATCCTCTCCTGCTTTACCAGCAGAGCTTCCAGCAGCTGCCAGCCACAGCCAGTATGTGGGGGCATTGCCCGGTAGAGGTGAGGTGTTCTGTAGCTTCTCACGTGCCAGGTACTGCAAGCATCAGCTATGGGTAGGAGAAGGTGGGTACTGTTTGAGAACTCTGCATCAGGTACTATCATTAGGAGCTTGGCACAGTGCAGCCAGTAACTAGAGTGCAGGCCCAGAAGGTCCACAGGCTCGGTCACCACGTCTCGCAGCCACTGAGCGCCTGGCCCTCCCTCCCTCACGACAGATCATCGGGAACTGCGTGTCCATCCTGGTCTTGAGCTCCGCCCTGCCTGTGATGTCAAGGACACTGGGTAAGTTTGCATGGCAGGTGTCCGGGTAAAGTGGGTAAGATTAAAGTAATGGTACTAAATGATTGAAGTTTTACTTCCTAAACTTCAAACAGATCCCCTTTGAGGGGGCCAGCAGGTGGCATAGTGGTTAAGGTGTTGGATTCCCACATGAACGACCATGGTTCAAGTCCTGGACCCAGCAGCTTGCAAAATCACAACAAACATATAGATAAATAAGAGAGAGACCCCCACTTTGAAGTGCTCCACCCACATCATCTCGTACCTTCAGTTCTGAACTAGTGTCTAGGGCCATACCAGACTCTAGCAAATACCTTTACCACTACTTTTTAACACACGGGCTGCCCACCCCGACACATTCACAAGGTGGGCATTTGATTCCCCCAGTTAGGAAAGTGTGAATTAAAGAGGATGAATGTTTAGTGTCCAGAAAATGTTCATTTCCTTAAGGAGATTTTAAAAATGTATAATTTGGTATGATTTCAGAATCGAAAATTAGTGAAGTCACTTTCTGAGAGCACAACTGATTTAAAGGACACCCTTTGGTCCTTCAGTTTTTACTTGCTTGTCACTCACTGTTTTAATCTTTCAGTTTACTGAGAATTTTGATGACCTTGGAAGAGTAAAACAGATTTCCACTTTGTCTCTGAAGTCATTAACTAAGGATCCTCTTGGCCTTGTCTTACAGAGCATCATTGTGACTCTGCTCAGTTCTTGGCTAGGTATGATTTCGGGTGGAGGTTTCCATCGAGCAGTTCTGCCTGACTCTCTAGATTTAGGCACTAACTTCAGAGTACCGGCAGATGCCGAGAAAAGTCCCATCTTTCAGCATGAGCAGCTGTTCACAGCTTCCACGTGAGCTGTGCTGTTGCCTCGTGCTTGAGCCCCGACTCGCAGTCAGGGACACAGGCAGTGCCAGGGGTGCGCGCTGGGTCCCCTTCGTGGTGTTAGCCTGCGTGGCGGGAGTACCAGCGCGGGACAGGGACAGGCTCATGGGAACCCTGCCCAAGTGAGGGTCTTGTTTCTTGTCTCGCTTCAAGGGCCTGTTATTGTTTCAGTATCTGCTTGTGGTGGGTTTGTCCTGAAAGTGCGGAAATGCACACTTTAGTAACCTGACTTGAAGCCAGCCGCTACCCTCTGTACTGTATGACAAGCCATCCAGCACACTGCTGTGAAAGTAACAGCTTCCTTACTATTTTAACGTTTATGAAACTCATTTAATGTGCTTAGTTACTTAAGATGAATTGCTAGTCGTTAATAGTGATTTTACGGAAGAAAATTACATGCTGGGTATAGTTTTAATACAAAGAAAACAAATAAATGGCAAAATTTACTTTTTGAAGACCAACAAATTAAATTCCAGAGTAGTTTGCCATAGAGATAAAGAAAAAGAAAAAAAGAAAGATGGGACAATTAAAATGCAGCCAACAAATGCCTGGACCCAGCTGTCCAAACAGGATTAAGGGAGTGTATGAGGTACAGTGAGGCATGTGGTGCTTTCACAACATCAGCACACACTGTATTACATGTTATGCCCGGTGGCAGTGAATAGATGAAAAGAAAGAAATACGTTAAACAGATTCATAGAGGCTTTCACAGTATGAAAAAAGCAAATTTCTAGACTAAAAGAAAAAGCTTTAGTTTTAGTATTATGGGAAATGCAAACCAGAGAGTTACTTTGTAATTCCTCTGTTAACCCTTCAGAATTGAGTCTTTTGATTTTAAGAAGATAAAATACAGAGAATTGTCATGAATACTATCCTAGTGTGTAACAGGACTTTGATTTACTAGCTGAAAAAGCTTATCAGATGGAAAATAGAGAGTATTTAACAACCGAGCCCCAGGCTGGGAAGTGCTCTGGCTTTCTCGCTGCCCACAGGAGGGCCCCTGGCCACGGTGGGGGCTCCTCTGCTGCTGGGGGTCGGCCAGCAGCACGTCCCTTACAGCTCGGCAGTGGCAGGGAGCATTCCAGTTTAGCAACAGATGTGCGGTCTCCCCTTATTTCAGCAGTTTTCTTAGCAAAGACTTTTCATTTGATCACAAATTAAATCCAGCATGAAATACTTAATTTGGTGATATTTTCGCTTTGATGAAACTCTTCTATTTTTTTTTTTTTTTTTTTTAATTTGCTATTGGGGCCAATGGTGGTCTGGTGTTTGGGGCGCTGGACTCCCACATGGCTGAGTCCCAGACCTGGGCCCTCGCTTTCTCACTCTCTCTCTCTCTGGTGAGTGCACGTGCCCTGTAACAAATAAAGAAGAATAATAATGATAAATAATTTTTAAAAATTTGTCGGCTGCTGCTTTTGCTGATCATGGGTGTCACCCAGAGCTCGGGACACGCACAGTGTGATGCAGCATACGTACTGAAGAGTCCTTTTCACATAACTCGGTTTGTTCGGATGTGGACAGTTCATACTAGTTGAAAAGTCCCCCTGAGTAAAATGCATCACTTGCCGCAAAGAATTCAGCTGTGAGGAGAGTGTCGACCTTGTGTTTTGGGCAGATGTGGTTTCATTATCTACGGGGAACAGAAAGCACCTGCCCTTACAACCCAGCTCGAGCTCCTCAGAGACCTTGGAAAGCAGTACCAGCCTCCTGGCATGCCCCAAACCCTGGCTTTGGCCCCGGAGGCTTCAGTGTCGAGGAATTCAAATGTGCGGGATCTGCTGTCCCTGCCCAGTCTCACAGCCTGAGGCACTTAGAGGAGATGGCACAAGGAGGTGGGGACGGGAGGGCTCACATTACCTGTGGGTGCCCAGACGGGTTCGTAGTGAAGGATTTTAAATGTCCACTCAGTTTTGTCAGCCGGATGGTGTACCATTGTTGTAGGTGCTCTTATTATGCCTACTTAGGAAACACAGAGGGTGGCAGTTTTTGAATTATTCTTTATTTGAAATCATCTTTAACCCAAAGGGAAATTTTTTTATCAAATGCAAACAAGTCTCTGAAACATTTTTACTAAGTCGTACTTTAAAAAAAATTGCTAGAAGATTGTGCACTCATCAGAAAAGAACACAAAAATTACTTTCACCAATTTGTACTTTTGAAAAAAGTTTGCTAGAATGTGTGTGTGTTTACTGGGGGAGAGACTGAGAGAGAGGCAGAAAGTGAGACAGCACCCCCATCCCTGGGGTGGCCACACCGCAATCTCGTTTGTTTATTTTTGCAATCCTTTTTTCCATCTCTCCTCTTGGGATTTTGGACCCACGTGCACAGGGACCCAGTGTGTGTTTGAAGCTGCTGGTCTGGGACTCGAACCGTGCAGTTGGCCATGGAGTGGTGGTGAAGGCGGTTGGATCATACATGGCTGACCGAGACCCTGAAGATACTTCTCAAATCAGCTTGAGTTCATTTTCAGTTACTCCTACATGCTTCTCATCTGGGCCTCTTACAGCCTCTTGTGCAGAAGCCGACGTGGGTTACTTCCTTTCGCTTCTTGTGGAGGGGACCTTGCCTTTTTTGCAGTCTTTATTTGGGGTTTCATAAATATTTTACTGGTCTTTACCCTTGGCTTTCCCTCGCTGGTTCTAGTTATGAGATGGAGATAAGTGTTGCTGTCACAGACGCGTAGCAAAGGAGCTGACGAGATAGAAATATAATCATAAGTATGCTCTTAGTTACATCAATATAAAAATAATTCCAAACCCGTATTGCAAATTTCTCAGCAAAAAAATTGCATTTGATGTATTATATTTAGGTACATTACAGAAAGTAAATGAATGGTATTAATTCAGTTTTGAGTGATTACTAACGTCCTTATATTTGAATAATAAATTTGTATATGGAGTTAGGACTTAAGGTTTCTTAGAAGTGTCTGCCTGTGTTAAATGTCTAAAGCAGTTGAGAGTGACCGCTGACGACAACTGAACACGTGTACTCTCGGGGCCGCCTTGTCCCGCTCTCCTGTGCTGCCCTGTTTCGGGGCACGTACTCTGAGAGAACCTCACAGTAGTCACGCGCACCTAAATTTAGCCAGTTGCTGATGTGTAGATACTTTACGTTTAGTATGTTATAAAACAATTGTCATATAAAAACAATCCCCGTCAGGGTCACTTAGCTAGAAGGAACCGCAAGGGGCAGTTTAAAATACGACAGTTACGAGCAGACACGTGAGCGTCTGTTATGTGTCTGGTACAGCTGGCGGGCTTTCACTCTGTCTGCCATTTACAGGAGGGCTCATCTTTGGTGTTGTATGTCCTGTAGGTTTGGACATGCATGTAATGATATGTGTTGTACCTGTCACTGAGTACATGCCAGTGCTCTGCCTCTTCATCCCCCTCTCCCTCCAACCCTTAAAAACCACCACTCTTTTCACTGTCTTCACAGTTTTGTCTTTTCCAGAACATCCTAGAGTTGCGATCATGCAATCCGTGCCTTCAGATGGGCTCCTTCCACCTCGCAGTACACAGTCAGGCTTCTCCATGCCTTTTCGTAGCTCGAAGTTCATTTCCTTCAGTGCCGAATCAACCCCACTGTCTGGATGTGCTACACGGATCTTCTCACCTATTGAGACACATCGGGGTTGCCCCAGGCTTTGGTAGCTATGACTAACTGTGTGCGCAGGCTTTTATATTTTTATTTTTTTGGAGAGGTTTTTTGCTGTAGGGTGCATGCGCTCGCCAGAAAGACAGAGATAGAAAGTGAGAAATCACCCCCAGGGTGGATGGCCACGCCACAGTTCCTTCTCCTCCATTCTCCTCTTGGGACCTTGGGCACGCACGTACACACACCCGGCGTGAGTTTAAACCTCTGGGTCTGGGACTCGAACCGCGGTCAACTACATGGGAGTCCAGTGACATAGCCATTACACCACTGCTGGTCCCATGTGTAGGCTTTTGAGTAGATGTAGGATTTCACCTCCTTTAGGTAGGTTCCCAGGAGCATGGTTGTTGGTGTCTGGTCAGAGTACATCAGTTCTGTGAAAACACTGCAGGCTGCTTGGGAGGGCAGCTGTGCAGGTGGATTCCCCAGCTGTGGCGTGGTGACCTGCTGCCGCACGCCCTCACCAGTGTCTGCGATGGCCAGACTTTTGGACTTGGGCCGTGTTAGCAGGGGTGCTGACCTGCTTTTTGTATCTAAATTAGCTCATACTTCCTAGGATTTGTGTGTGTGTGTTTGTGTGTGTGTGTGTGTGTGTGTGTGTGTACGTTTTCACAGTGAAGGAGGAGAGAGCGAGCGCCGCCCAGTGGCTCATGCGCCATCCCGAGGTGTTGAATGGTTGTGGCCAGAATTGGCGGCCTTGCCTTCTTCCAGATCTTAGGAACCAGGATTTTCTCCATTGATTATGATGTTATCTGTGGGTCTGTAAAATAAAGACGCATGTGTATATACATTTATCTAGCCTTTTTATGTTGAGATAAATTTCTTTTATACCTACTTCGTTGAGAGGCTGTGTTAAAATGAAATTAAAAGAAAAAATACAGGCTGCGTTTCTCAGCACAAGCTCCACTGAGTCCGAGACGCTTTGGTCTGTGGTGGTGCCGGTCAGGTGGGCCTTTCCTCGAGAGCTCAGAGCCCTGGGGATTTAGTCATGCCGGTGCAGGCGCTCATTTGGCTTAGGGAAGAGAAATGGGTACTCTTTTTTAAAATGAAATTTCTTTTTTTAACTTTATTTATTTATTTTAATTTGACCAGAGAGGGACAGAACTGGGTGGGGGGAGAGCAAGAGAGAGAGTGAGAGAGAGAGAGAGAGAGACAGACTAAGCCACCAGGTCTGGGACTTAAACTACGGTTGGCCATTTGGGAGTCCAACGCCCTCAGTCCCCACAACAGCTGCTGGCCCCCCCAGATGGGTACTCTTTAAACATTTTTAAGATGAGGAAGTAAAAAGAAGTCAGAAGGGGCCGGTTCAGGACTGTGAGGTGTGCTAGTGGTCTCCACCAGAGTTCTCGGGAAGTTGCCCTCGCTTGAGAATGAGCAGGAGCCGTGCCATCGTGCGGGAGGGCTCAGGGAGCCTTTCCCGCTCTCTGCTGGGCCTTTAGCCTTCCCCCAGCCCCCGCTGTCCATGATGGAGCGCACGTCTGCACGGGGGAGGGAGGCCCGCTCATGGCCCAGGTTCCGTGCTCCGGTCCTCAGCCGGCCAGAGCTCGGGCTCTTGGGGGATGCCCAGCACGTCTCGGCTGACCAGGCTCAGACTCAAGCCCTGGCCGCCCTGTGGGTGGGAAGTGTTTTCTCGAGTCTGTGCTGTGGAAGAAGTGTAGAGGGCTGTGAGGTTTGGGGGAGAGGGGGAGCCAAGCTTTCGTCTGCGAGGAAGTGACATTTGAGTAGATAACAAAATGAGGACAGGCAGTCCTGGGGAAGCAGCGGGGACCGGACGGGCTGAGGTCTGCGCAGGCGTTCCTTCTCACCTGACCCCCGTCCCGTTACCGGTGACCGCCATCCTGCTCCAGGTGCTGTGCCCCGCCCATCCACCCCGTGTGAGTGGCAGGGGAGGTTTCTTCTCAGTGTTAGCACAAATGCCGGGCAAGTGGCCAGGGGCGTTGCCCCAGCCTCCCTGCTCGTGACCTGCAAGGACAGGGGGGTGTGTGAAGTGGGAGGGACTGGCTCGAGGCTGACTCACTGGTAACAGAGCATTCGCATCACAGAAGTAAAAGTTTATGGGATTCTGATTTGTACTTTTCTTCCTAAATTGTGCCGTCAAGTGCATTTGCTTGCTGGAGAGAGAGCATGCGAGAGCGAGCCCCTCCTCAGAAGTGGCCACGCCACAGTCCCCGCTTTTGCATCTGTCATGCTGTTCGGGGTACTCGGCACACGCGCACACGTGCCCAGCCTTCTCAAGCCTCCAGGTCCGGGACTCACCGTGCAGTTGTCCGTGTGGGGTCGAACCGTCCCACCATCATGCCACAGGCTGGTCCTGATTTAAACTGTATTTTGTAGCAAATATAAATATATCTTACCTGGTCTTATTAATAAGGGCTTTTTTTTTTTATTTTTAACAGGAATCACTAGATTTGATCTACTTGGAGACTTTGGAAGATTTAATTGGCTAGGAAACTTCTATATTGTATTATCCTACAACTTGATGTTTGCTATTGTGACAACATTGTGTCTGGTCAGAAAATTCACCTCTGCTGTACGAGAAGAACTTTTCAAGGCCCTAGGTAATCCTAAGGTTTATGGGCATTTCCCCTTCTTCCTACTAATTAATAATTTTGACATTTGAGTTAATTTTAAGGTTTTACTATTTAGATTTCCAAGTGTGTAAACCTTAGAGGTTAAATTCATTTTTTTTTTTGGAGAGGTTTTCGCTATAGGGTGCGTGCGCTCGCGAGACAGAGAGACAGAAAGTGAGAAATCATCCCCCAGGGGGGATGGTCATGCCGCAATCCCTTCTCCTCCATCCTCCTCTCGGGATCTTGGGCACGCACGCACATGCGCCCAGTGTGAGTTCTAAGCCACCAGGTCCGGGACGCGAACTGCAGTCGACTACGTGGGAGTCCAGCGACATAGCCATTACGCTAACTGCTGGTTCTCTAGAGGTTAAATTCTTGATCTCCTACTTGTTAATTATAATTTTGTACAAAAGTACGTTATGAACCCTCAGCTTTCTTATCTGTAAAACAGGGCTATTCCCTCCTTTTGGGCTGATTGTGAATATTAGCTGAAATAATTCTTGTAAGGGCCTTAGCATAGTGCCCAGCACACTCTGATACTCAGTCACGAGTAACTCTTCGAATGTTGTGGTGGTGGTGGTTGTGAAAACACAAGGCTAAACTGTGTTAAAAGCTTATTTTTGATAATGTTACCTTTTAATCTTTTTTAACTGAAGCTTTTTTTGAGTATTCAATTTTAGCAGTATCAGAGTGACCCACAGTTCTGTTTAGTAAGCCCAATAATTCAGGAAAAAACGTGGGCATCTTGCACAGGTCGGAGAGTGGGCTTCACTGTTGTGCACCGTGGACCAGGTGCGCCGTGACTGTGAGACAGCATTAGGGGTAGCTGAGGGGGGCTTGCACCTGTGAGTGTGTTTCTCATGCTCAGTTCACGTGTTACATTTTAAGAACATTAGGACAGTATAAACTGTCTTGGGCTTAGGGTATGTAATTTTTTGACCCAGGAGGGGAAAGCAATGACTAGTCGAGAATGGCAGAAACCCTAACACTCGCTTATTTCCCTGAGTCGGTACTCCGTCTTCCACGGCGGCTTCGGCTGTAGCAAAAGCGACTTCCTGTGGGCGGACTCTTTACGGTCCATCTCACATAACTTTATTTGGGCCACAGTGAGGCTTCTCATACCTTCAAGCCTTTCCAATCTGCACTTTTGTTGTTTTTAATTTTACCTGAGGGTAAAATGCACTTGCTAGAAAGAGACAGACAGAGACAGAGACAGTGAGAAAGCCCTCCCTCCTTTTGGGATTTTAGGCACATTCAGGGTGTTTCTCAAGTCGTTGACTTTGGGACTCGAACCACAGTTGGCCACATGGGATCCAGCTGCCTTAACTACAGTGCCACAGGTGGGTCCCTAATCTCTTGATGTTTGAAGGGATGCCCTTAGAGAAGGAAAAGAATTTTCAGATTATGTATTGAGCACAGAAGTCTGACCACTTTTTTCATATTCCCAAGTTCTTTTTTTTTTTTTTTTTTAAATTTTTTTTTTTTTTTTGAGAGATTTTCACTGTAGGGCGTGTGCGCTCGCCAGACAGACAGAGAGAGACATAGAGACAGAAAGCGAGAAATCACCCCCCAGGGGGGATGGTCACGCCGCAATCCCTTCTCCTCCATTCTCCTCTCGGGATCTTGGGCACGCACGCACACGCGCCTGGCGTGAGTTTTAAGCCACCGGGTCCGGGACACGAACCGCGGTCGACTATGTGGGAGTCCAGCGACATAGCCATTACGCTAACTGCTGGATCCCCATATTCCCAAGTTCTTTTCAAAGGGCCTGGAGGAGTCAACTTATAAACATTAAAAAGAGGCTCTGGCCCGTGATAATGGGGTGCCCCTCACCTGGCCCTGCAGTGGTGGTTTTGTGATGTGCCGTGAGCCTTCTTACCTCTGATGTGACAGTAAAGCACAGGCATGTTTTTGGGAATGAAGAGTTGTGTTTTTCTTTAACCAATTACTAACCAAAGGAAACTTTTTTCTTTTAGGTTTTTGCCATAGGGTGAGTGCTGCTGGTGGGGGTAGGGGACCACTGCATTGCAGTCCCTTCTCTCTCATTCTCCTCTCAGAATTTTGGGCACACATGCATACACGCACACCTGGCATGATTTTCACAGGCCGAGACCGGGTCCAGCACTTGAACAGTGGTGGGCTATGTGGGAAACCAGCACCTTAACCACCACGCCACCTGCTGACTCCTCCAACCTAAGAATTTTTTTTTTAAGAGATTTTTCTTTGGTATAGGGTGAGTATGCTCACTGGAGACAGAGAGACAGAAAGTGACAGAAATCACCCCCTGGGGAGATGGCCATACTGCAGTTCCATCTCCTGTATTCTCCTCTTAGGATCTTGGGCACACATACACATGGGTCTGGCATGAGTTTAGGCCACTGGGTCTGGGACTCAGACTATAGATGACTACGTGTGAGTCCAGTGACATAACCACTATGCCATCTACTGGTCCCCTGCCAACCTAAGAATTTCTGAACCCACCTATAACCTAGGAGTTCTAGATGTCCCACCTTTTTGAACCAGACCAGTGTAAAAACTCACATTCATCTGCAAACTTTGTATCTCTCCAAACAAAATAAAGGGGCCTATTGCACCTGTGCTCCTGGAGAGCCACTTCGGGCCTTCTCTGGGCCTGTCCCCAAGTGTGGCGGTGCTGAGAGCAGGCGGCCTTGTTTCTGTTTCTGCAGAGCTTGGTCATTTCCATGGGCAGTATCCACATCTGTTTTCCTTCCAATACCTGTGCCCCCAGGGATGGCTGATAAACTATCAGTCTGAAAGGAAAAGATTACATGTCATTTTAGCCGAAGCATCAGCTAATTTATGGATTATAATGCCTACGTTTCATAATGTTGGCCAAATTCAGTACTGCAGGATGAAGTGGAATCAGATGGTGCTTTCGGTCAGTTTCTGGAGTTAAAACTTAATTTTTAAGCCTCTTGCAATATCAGCAAGATTAGTTAGCTGTATTCTCAGATTAATTCCCATTTACTGTTTAACTGACTGTGTACAAAAAATGAAGCAAACAGTTTCATAGAGGATTTGTAAAAACTCACTGTCAGAGGGTGACTTCCAGAAAGGAGTTCTGGCAGGATCTGCTGTTCCAGCTGTGCCCAGAGCTGCTTATGTGCTGCAGTCCTCACAGGCCTCTGCCTGAGCTGGAGCCACTCCCACCTCCATGACGCCCCTGAGTTGCTCCTCTGCCCATGCCTGCCCCTAGCAAGCTGCAGCTCACTGACAAACTTGGGAGGCTCGCATGACTGTTTAGGGCCAAGAAAGTCCTGGGCTGGCAGCTTCCGTGCTGTGAAGGGTAAGGTCAACAAGTTATTGTGAGCAAGTCTTCGGGCTTGGTAACCTTTGTGTTCTTTCTGGCAGGGGCTGAAGCTCCTGATCAGTTAGTGTGTCTGAATGACTGCCACAGCTACTCCGAGTACTCCTGCTCGGGGCTAGGCCACAGCTACTCCGAATACTCCTGCTCGGGGCTAGGCCACAGCTACTCCGAGTACTCCTGCTCAGGGCTAGGCCACAGCTACTCCGAATACTCCTGCTCGGGGCTAGGCCACAGCTACTCCGAGTACTCCTGCTCAGGGCTAGGCCACAGCTACTCAGTACTCCTGCTCAGGGCTAGGCCTCAGGTACTCAGAGTATTCCTGCTCGGGGCTAGGCCTCAGGTACTCAGAGTACTCCTGCTCGGGGCTAGGCCACAGCTACTCAGAGTACTCCTGCTCGGGGCTAGGCCTCAGGTACTCAGGGTACTCCTGCTTGGACCTAGTCCTGAGGTACTCCTGACACTCTTGCTCGGGGCTAGGCCTCAGGTACTCCTGACACTCCTGCTCGGGGCTAGTCCTCAGGTACTCAGGGTACTCCTGCTCGGGCCTAGTCCTTAGGTCCTCCTGA